AGTTTAGAAGTTGATTTTGGATTGGTGAAACAGGACCAAGAGACAGTGCCAGCACATGGTGAGACCTCTAGTGGATGCAGGATTCCTCATATAGGGATGGTGTCAGCATTTAGCCATCGTTTGGAGACTAACAGCTACAGCAGAGTACGGCGGGAGAGGGTGGAAAGGGAGATCCAGCAATCTGGGGTGTCTGTCAGAAACCTCAGGTCCAACTTCGAGGGTCAGATTGGTGCGATTTATCCCTTTGCTGGGGTTGTGAAAGGGGGCCAGGTAGTGTTTGGATCCTCAGGAGTAAGCAACCAGAATGCCAACACAGACCTCAGCTGTGAGGTGAGCCACTGTGATCCTCCTAAAAAACTTGTACCTGTGATAGAGACAACCAGTTTAAGGAAAGAACGTATAGTGGTGCTTTTCCTGAGCCACTGGAAAAAATCTGCATATGCTATTTCAGTGAGAGCAGCGAGGCAGAAACAGGGACAGGAAGCAGGGAGAGTGGCGGGAGCATCGCCCCCACAAAAGATGACCTCCATGTTTCAATTCTGCCAACAACGAGGTGCTGTGGACAAAATGCTGAACTCCTGGAAGACTAAACTAGAACTTAAAGATGCTCAAAAGTCCCCGTTGTCCTCTTCTAACTCCTCACAAAATCCACCACCTCGAGAAACCTACTCCCCAGAGCAATTCCTGCCAAGCGTGGATGGTGTTTCAGTGAGCCACGACAGCTTGACCCTCGACCTCTTCATGCTGGGCTACTTCCACATCTTAGAGCAGGAGTTGTCGCCTGAGGAGAGGAAGATGAGACACCTCCTCTGCTTCGAAGTCTTTGACCATGTCGGCAGTTTCCCCTGGGAGATGGTGAGGGACTTCCACAAGGCCGTTCTCCAGGAGATTCAAGCAGGGAGGCGACATTGGAGTGACGGCTTCGAAGACATCAAAGTTCGCTTCTTTGGGGACTCGAGACCGTGCCGCTGTCCGCCATCGCCGTCATCACTGCTGCTGTCAGATTCCAGACTCGTACCCAAAGTTATAGTTCAAACTGCTACTCCAGATGAGAGTGGCAGTGACACAGACTTCTCTTGCTTCAATAATGAAGACATTTGTAAATACATTGACCGCAGCTTTGCTTTCTGGAAAGAGAAGGAGGCAGAGCTGTTTGATTTTGAACATTAGTATTTAGGGTGAATTTGACATTTTTGCACATAATGGTGATATGTTGGAGCATTTATTTTGGCAAACTGATGGGGCTGAATACAATTATGCTAAGGATGCATTATTGATGCATTATTATTACAAACTTAATTGATACAGTTAGTTTGTTTAAATCATGTCAATCAAAGCTTCTTTATATATCCACAAAATGATGCCTATAATTTCCATTTATACATATATTTGTAGTATTTTTATTTTTATTTTCTGATAGCAGGACCACAGAAAACATTAAATATTCTTTTTTGCCACTTAAGGGTCTCTCCACTGACTCAAAGTCAATTTGCTAATCGTATTAAGTGGAACAAGTATTTAAATATGCTCCAAATGTGCCCCCTAATATATTGATATATTTGTGATATTTGTCCAAGCGGTGTTGCTGTACCAAAGCAGAAGCCATTGTTTGAACGCTGTATGTGTATCACTGTCAAACACTGCATTGTTCCTTCTCTTTTACTTTCAAATGTATTAAAAAGTGGAAAACTAGAATGTAATGTGAGTGTTACGTAGGCTGTATCATTGATGATTGTCATCATTTTTTGCAAAGTGTCATAAAAATGTTAATTTGAAGGTTGCCGTCTCACAATGTTCCTGTCAAAATTTTAGCTGGTTAGCATACATTCTGCATTAGCTAGCAAACAGCAAATACACAAGCATAACACTAGCTTTGCATAAACTTAGGATCTGTTAATGTTGACAGTTGTTGACACTTATTATTGTGACACAGTATCAATAATAACACTTCACTTCAGCAAAGACGTATGCAAAGGTAATATTGGCGTCAATACATCATTTTGCGATGAAACTGTAATTGTGTAAATAAATAATATTTGCTAAAAAGTGTTACTAATTGCAAAGTGGAAACAAAAGTGTCTGGTGATACAGACTGATTTGCAATTGTTAATCAATGAACCATAACTAACGTTAGCTATAACTGCTAAGTTACCTGGAAAGTGAATTAGCTACACATTTATGCAGCGACCAACAATCACAGGCGTATTTAACTAATGTTAACGTCTTTATTACGTATTATTTGTCAGAAAGACCACCTGAAGTCTGAGTATCAGTCATTTCGAGCTGAATGTGGATTTAGACATTTATTACATATTTAGTGTATAGCTGTGCTTGCTGATGATAAATAGCACTTGTGTTTGTTTGATTAAAGGTGGGGTCAGGGATTTTGGAGAAGGATAATCAATGTTGATATTTGAGCTCAACAGCCAAACATGTACACCCTCCAATTACAGCTCCTTCAGACGCTCTGCCTGCCAAATTAATGGACATGCAATATCAACAACTCTAACAATAACCATACTTATACAGTGTGGAAATGGATGTATCTTTTCTCATAGCTTTAGCAAAACAAACATTGTAAACATCCAAAACACATTGGAGTAAAAACTAGGTAGAGACAGCTGTTTAGATCGTTTTTTAAAAAACTACAGTGACGGAAGAGAGGAGTGTAGGTTTGTAGCTAAGCAAGGATGGTAATGTTACCAAGTAGTTGCTGCTGCGAAGCTAACATGCAGAGAGCAGCAATACTTCAGCTACTATTAGCTACAGACAACACAATAACAAAAACAACAACACAGCTACTACAACAACTTTAGTACTTCAAAGACAATACAGCAGTTTTCCAGTACCACAACAATATCTTTTATTACAGCCATTTTTTGTATTTCTGCATTTGCATGACATGAGTTACTGTGTTGGTATTGTGAAGGGCCTGAAAAGGTGTGGGGGATGTCTGTTCAGTTCAAAGTGGACCCAAAATTCAGACAGGACACACAGAAAGCTCGAATCAACAAAATGTAACTTTGATAACTTGGAAGGGCACCAAAATATAACTGAAGGTGGTTGAGTAGTCAAGGTCATGATAAGCTGAGCCCAAAACAGAAAAAGGAAAATGAAGGCTCTAGACTAGAGTCAGCAAAAGTCAGAAAAAGTAAAGATTGAGACGGAAATCAAAACAAACAAAAAAAAGGTCTACCTGCTTGAAGCATCTCTGCGCAAGCAGCAGAATCTGACCCAGAGTGCTGATCGCAACTGGAGTGCAGAGTTCAACCGGGACACTGTGCACAACAGGATTGGAGAGACCTGGGAGAAGGACGTCAAGGACATCAAAGTTGCCTTTGACAAGATGTTGATGGCCTTAAATACAGAGTGAGACAGGAGGAGGTAGCCACCAAACTCAAAATTCTGCAGGGCGACTTCAACAGGACGGTGAGCCAGGTCATTCTGGAAAAGGAGGATGTGTTTTAACCACTGGATCAGTTTGTTTTGGAGATGAGGAAACCTCTGGGGATAATTTGGTCCCGGTATTATGGGATCAATCAATTATGTTGTTAGGGAAACAAGTTAAGCTAACATTAGCAGCAGCTCTGCTTGCAGGCTGTCCAGGACGTTGTACGTCAGCCGAGCAGGTTCCCCAAAACACTGATTTTCAAGGTGAAACTGCTTTATTCAGTGTTGTTACTGGTTGAAATCACTAGGTCTGTTTGTTTTGGAGAGGAGAGGAGACCTCCGAGAGCAGCTGACGGCAATGACAGCAATGGTGGTGTGAAGACAACAACTCCATGATTGGATGCTACTTCACAACCT